TCACATATACATTTCTACAAGCTCTACTACTAAAAAAATTTCCACCTACATAGGAACCTACATAGTTATCCCGTGCAGACCAGCCTGGGTACAGCTGCATATGAAGCTGTCGTTCCTTTCTTGCTAGTTCATAGTATTTCGCTTGTTCTTCTCTGGATAACGCATGCCACTGAGGTGAAGAAAAGAGAAAAAGACAAAATAAAAAGCACAAGTGTTTTTTTTTAAGCACGTTAACAGCAGCGTCTATTATTTATATATAAATACAGCGAGAGTTGATTTTCATTAAAAAAGAGATAAAAACAGATGATCTGGCATGCTGCCATTCATATTTTATTTATAACTCCAGATTATAACTCCAGTAAACTCAACTGAGTCACAACTTATAATTTACGTTCACTCAACCCCTTTGTGTCCTGATGAGAGAGGAGAATTAAGAGAACTAAACAAAAACAAAAGAGCAAGGGAGAGGGTCCAGGAGCTGAACCACTTGTCGTGAGCCAGATCTCAGTTACAGATTTACAGAAGGTCTCCCCCTCCTTTCCCCACTGGCACCCCCTCTCCTCTCCTGGCTCTCACAGGTGCTGATACTGGTACTGTACTTCCCAAAGGCTTTTTCCTTCCCCATTTACTTTTCTGCCTGTTTCTAGGACAAAATAAGAACTTTGAGATTTTTCCATCCCCAGGTGATGGAAACAACATTGAAATAACACTGCTATTAACTCCCCCCCTTCGTCGTGAATGACCCCACTAGCAAAAAGTGTCTGCAGAAACAAAAACCAAAAGAAGGTCTTTGGTTTAGTTACTTCCCTATCTATTACCAAAAGAACAGCAAAACATGGTGATTCAGAAGGTTGCAACTCCCTTTCTCTGCAAGCAGCGTGAATCCTACCAAGTTTCAGTCCCTGTGTGGGCTTCTCCCTTATTACCTACCCTTCGACCAAGGATTTGGTTGATGGCTGCGCTCTCTTTCAATGTGCATTCTGCTACAACTTTTGCTCTCATTTCCTTCATATACAACATAAATGCATTAAGAGGTTTCTTTATGTGTGGCTTCTTTTTCTCTTCTTCTTTTTTGGAGTCCTGATGTTTTCTGAAGGGTAGAGATACAACAGACATAAACCTCACAGTGAGAACTCTTGTGAATTTATTAAATTAATCCCCTCAATCCCTCTAGCATTAATCCTCAGAAATTAGTCTCTAAAAAGAGGACCAGAAGGTTCTTTAGGGCCTTTACCCTGGCTGCTGTATGAGAACAGTTTTAAGAGCATTATAAGAAAACCTATTTCATATTTACACAATATCACCAAGTACCCTCTCAGCTCCTAGAAGAACCTCAGAAGGACATGGGCACTCAGGAAAATGGGTTCATGGGGAGGGCTTGTGAGCATGATGGTAGAGGAAATAATTACACCCCATCATCACTGGGAACTGAAATGCTATCCTTCTGCTTCACCTGTGAAACGAAAGGCAAGAAGCACCAGAAGCACTAGGGGCAGAGGTAGACCAGGGCTCTCCTCGGTTCAAACCTGAACTTGATACCAGCTCTCTTTGCAGCTTTGAACAAGCCATTTATGCTCTGATTTATTGTCTCCTGTTGCGCATCCGGTATCTCATGGCTTCAAACCAGGCACTGAGTAATAGGGAAACTGGTCAAGAAGCTTGAATATTGATCAAGAAAATTCCACTTCCTTGTTAAAATGGGTGAAATTAATAACTACTTGTCTATGTCACAGAATGACTCTGAAAGACTGTTACCATTATTTTGACACGCTTTGGTAGTTAAAACATGTTCAAATCAATTAGAACAGAAGAGAAAAAGAAATTCAACAAATATTTTACAGCAAAAACATTCCTACAAATCCAAGCCTTTCTGAAAGCCACACATGCACAGGTGATGCTTTGGGTGTTCTAAAATAAGACACGGGAAGCAACAACTTACGAGCTGTGGAGTGAGCCAACGTCGCTCTGGGAAGATTCCTGTTTGACTGTTGGTGTGACTATGGCCGGATGAGGGATTCCAGTTGTATGTAAACTATGGTGTGGCGGGACCATGTGTGGAGGAAACCTAGAGGAGAGAAAGCTGTGTAAATCGTCAGAATAAAAATGAATGAATGGGGAGGGATGTGTACACACATTTAAAAAAAAAAAAAGGCATATAACAAGCACATGACAGCTAGACAAAGCATATGAAAGCTGGCAGCATTAATTAGCAATAAATTAAACATAATGACTCTTCTAATGTCATTAAAGCCAATCTTCCCCTTCATTATCATTACTGACATGAGACATCATGATTTTTAACATCTTTAACAAAAGGCAAATTCAACTGGATGAACTTGGATGAAAGTGGAATTTCAGCTACCTGCAAGAAAATCCACCAGTCCATTTCTTTGCTAAGAAATTACCTGTGGCAACCGAGGAATCAATTTTTATAGTTCTGAATCATGTTGTGAATTTAGGATGACATCTTTTGCTGCATATCGACAGCAAAATAAAATATTAATGCCAACACAATCTAGATGCATTTTTGATAATCCTTATAGATGCCTCATTAGCTACATTTTGTTGATGGAGCAAAGGAAAATATTTATTTGTGTCTAATAAATTTCTGAGCCACATTGCTTTAACAGGAGGTGGGAAGATTGTGGAATTAAGTCAGTTTTGGCCTAGGTAACCTAGGAAGGCTTAAATTCATGCAAAATAACAGTCTAGCCTTTCTAAAGAGAAAACATGTTGTCAGCTTTATGGTTTATGGTCATATACATGGACAGGCCCCAGTCCTGCAACTGGATTCAGAGGGATATGCAACCCTTCTGCATGAATCTAATTGCTTGGTCAGGGCCACAGCACGAACATGGCACAATCATTCAGACTCTTTACTTTTTAACCAAAATGAAGAAACTTCTCAAAAGCAAGATTGACTTCTTATCATTATTTCTCAACAGTCTCAAAAAGATTTTGCAGTGAATAAGGAAAGCACACTATGACTGCGTGCCCTTCCCTTAGAAAACCCCCACTGAAGTCAACAGGTTTCCAGGGAATGGGATCTGGCCTAAAATTTTGGCTCAGAAATAATTTCCCCCAAAATTCCAAAGCTAAAGTGATCTAGCAAACGACAAGGTTTTTTATCATTGCAAATCCCTACTCTCATCCCAGATTTTGAACCATCTTGGTCTAAATAAAATACCCCAAGACTATGGAACACACAACGGGATAAAGAATTATTTCTTCTATCATCAATACACAATGACTTTTTCTATCAAACAGGACTTAAAATGGGGTGATATACCATGGATAAATAGACTGTGTACGAGTATCAGAAATATAATGGGATTTCTTTATTTTTCCCCTCTTATAAATTCACTACTGATCTTAAACCCTGCCCCCCCCAACTGCCTAGACATTCCCTACATTCACAAGATGATACAGTAGTACTTTCATGAACAAGAGGTACTGTCCACTATGAGCTCTGAGGATCTTTGTCTGTCAGCTGGTAGTACTCAGGATCATTATACAGAAGTATTTTGTCTTTGAAGACAGTGGTGGGAAGAGCAGGGACTGACAGGGAGAATGTGAAATTGTTCAAACTGCGCGAATTGCAGTTCCTCACAAACAAAGGCATGGAGGGAAGGAAAGGAGAAGGGTGTAATGGCAAGGGAAGAGGAAAACAGGCAGCAAAATGGCCATTTCTACCTCTGCTAAAGACTCACGGACACAAATCTCCAAGTGGATTGTCAAAATGCCTTCCCCACTCTCTGACAAAAGTAGTTGAGAGAGAAATGCACGTTTGGGGAAATGCTTTGGTGCACGGTAGGTCAGGAGAGAAGACAATGGCGAGGCTGCAAGGAGACCGACGTCCTGGTCCCACTTCTGCCACAGAATTGCCTCACCATCAGCAAGACACAAACTGGGCCTTTGTATCATTTTTTTTTGTTCTCCCTTTCTTTATTTTTGTGTGTATGTATTTTGATTGGACATACTTAAAGTTTGTTCACACAGTGCCTGGGGCCTTCAGCCATAGTACAATGCAAACAATAAAAACTGACAGTAAGAGCTTTTTTTAAAAAAATAACTTACGAACATGGGCGAAAATAAAACCCATGGCAAAATCCTGACTTCACTGAAAGTGGTATAAGCATAGTGATAAAAAGTTGACACACATCCTATCAAATGACTGTCTGTCCTAGGCAAGACTCAGCGTTCAAGAGAGGACTATGCTGCTGGGGCTAGCTAGGGTTCAAACTGGAACAAGAGCCAGTGACAACGGGACAATGAAGGATGAAGATGGAGATGAAAAGCCTACCTTCAGGGAGCAGGCTGGAAGAGCTGTGCTTGTTTGACATGAGGACACAGTGGGAAGGGCAGTGGGCATACACCAGCAAGGAAGAAGATCTGAGCTGAGTGCAGTGGTAGCACAAGGACAGAAGGGTATGAGAGTGGACTTGAATAAGATTAGACTCATCACTGGAGAAGGGCTCCCAAATATCACAAAAGACTAATTACAGCTGGAGTTAATGGGGACAAAAGATGGTGCTTGTTAAGCTTCTGAAGAGGATCCCATGATGTGGCCATGATAACTGGGTCATGGACTTGCTTCTCAAATGAGTATCTGGTCAAAAATTAAAACACACTGCAAAATGAACTCTGCCTACGTGGTGGATTGTTGTACGGTCAGGATGTTCAAAGGAAACAAATTCAACAAAAGATAGGGGGTTATTTTATTTGTTTATTTTTGATGAAGATTTAAGTACCTCCAGCTAATAAAAAATTGAGGAGGGTGAAGAAAATCTGCAAAAAATGTAACTTCCCCCTAATAATGGGAAAAATGTTTTCCCAATTACCATTTAGGAGAAAGAAAGTATTTGCACATCGGAGAGTAACCAGATGGGGAGGAAAGGCAGCGGAGGAGGAAAAGCCTACGTACGCATGTTGTGTGAAAGTCTGGAGGATGGCAAGGACTTCAGCTGGGCTGAAATTTTAAGCACTGGGCTCTAAACTTCAGACACACGGCAGCCTTAATCAACAAGGCATCTGCAGCTCAGTAGTTATTTTCGGGGTGGCAGTCTCCCCAAGGAAGTTGTGTGTTCATTGCTAATGACCCTTCATTATTTCACACTGAATCTCTCTCTCCAAGACACAAGGCTGCCTATTAGACTTACACACCCCTTCCTATGTTTGGGGCTATAAAAACACACTCCAGAACCCAAAGTTGCTCTCACAATCCCATGGACTTCAGTGGACTGGGTGAGAGTTCAGCCCAAAGTCTGAGTGCCTACTTATTTCCATGTAGACATCCACCCCCATGGCAATACGAGTGGGGGAAGAGTGTTAATTTTTAAGTTCCTGGCTACACACCAACTTCAGTAATTACATTCAGCAAAAGTGAATTTCCCCTGAAATTTCAATTACAGAAGGTATTTTCCACTGCCACCACCTAACTGCTGTGCAGTGTTTGTCTGGCGTAACTCTGCTAAATTATTTCCTGATTTCCTCTCACAGCAGTTGTTTTTTCATAGTGGGTCCACTGTTTGCCCATCAGTCAGTTAACCCTGTCTCAATTTACATTAAGGGCATATTATAGAGGGGTAATGAAGGATCAAGAGATGTTATAAGCATGTTGCATGCATACAAAGTGAGTGGGGCAATACTACAAGCAGAGAAAAGAGTTGTAAATGGTTAAAACAACCTGAAGACACTACCTTAATAGTCTAAACCATTTATGAAAATCACTATTAGTCACCCATTAACCTTTTATAAACTATTCATAAGCACACTCTAACTAATGAACTGTAATTACTAAGCTAAGGGAATATTCAGGGTTGGGGAGCATTATATGCTCCAAAGGTCTATACCATAATGCAGGCAAAGACAGGAACTACTTTAAATGTGGATGGAGGGGTGAGATTGGGGTCTGCCCTGGCTTCAACGTTTGGGCAGTGTCAACACAGCAACCCCAAGGCTTGTACCAGGGCACTGCAGGGCTGTTGCCAGGAGGCCAGCCATGAATGGCATGTCTACAGGCAAGCGTGGGCATCCCCAGGCATGCCAGCCCCATCTCCCAACTGTGTTGGCTACTCAGGGCAAGGGCTGTCCCACAGCTGAGCTCAGGTGTTCTAGCTGATACGGCAGGCATGAGAAAACATGCGTTGAACCACATATCAGAGCACGGTCTGCCCAGAGGGTGTTCCCATGTATGGGAAACCAGGAGAGAAGTTTCTGGGCTGAAACAAAGGATAAACATCTTAAATCTATTCATCACTCTGCGTGTGTGCCTGAGCATGTGTGCGCGTACAGGCTTATGTCAGAGACAAAAAGAAAGGCTGTGTGCGTATATGCACACCCCTCACCTTCGCCTAAGACATCCCCGTGTGTTTTTTTCTCCAGACAAGTATTCCATGAATTGCAATAAACACCCTAAAAATTCTAAGCAGCTCATTATACACCACTGTCTCCTTTTATGGCTCCAAGCCAGAATATAATGATGAGTCTTAACTTGTTAAGGACAACTAATTTTTTGTTCCTGGCTGTCTCAGGGGCTTCTCTCTTACTCACTCTCACTTTACTTCACTGTTGACATGTTTCTGTTAACTGGATGTCATCTGCCTGCCTTGATTTTATGCACAAGCAGTGGGATGCATTTTTCTGTGCAACAATTCTGCTTTGAGTTGCATTAGATTTGTCATTATTCTCTCATTTTCCCCTTGCACTTGTAACATTTCATCTATTCCTGCCTTATTTTTTGAGCCACGGTGCACCCACATTATGGTTTATACATGATCTTGCTCCCTTTGAAGCCGGCAGATTTCAGAGCCAGCCCTCGTCAGGAGAAGTGCCTGCTACCAATTTAGCAGGCTGAGGGCCCCGAGCTCCAACAACTCAATCTAAAGGGGGTCACAGGGTGGCACAAGCGAGTGTCAGCAAGTGCTGTTTAATTGCCAATCTAGGCTTCTCCATGGTGTTTAAAGTATAATGACCCATCACTTAATTCTGAGAAGTCCTGGCCCTGCTGCTGAATGGAATGAATATCAAAGGATGTGCTAGAACAGGGCAAGGAGCCTACATTTCCTATAACTGCCATAAGTATAATAGACCTCTACTTCTGTCGTCCCATTACCACAATAATGTATTTAATTTGCTGTGTACTCTTTTTAACTAGATACCTTTCATAAAGCCTATCTTGGGAATATAGCCTCACCCCTCCCACATCTCCCCCCTCCCTCAAATGACTAGCCTCTCTAATAATAATTAAACTAAATCAAGCTCTACTTTGCCTCACACCATGCCTGCAAGTCTTTTATAGATATTAAAAAAGATTAAATGGAGGGAGGGAACCATTGTTTAAATTTGCAGCTCTCCCCAATCCAGGATTTTTTCTCCCCTGTGCTGGGTCTATTAATTTTTTTTTTAAAGTTGATTTTCCAGTTGTCTCTCTATTTGCTGGAGCAACATGGGCAAATTTTAATTTTTTGCTTTTACTCTACTTATCTAAAGCACACAACACACTATTTTCTTACCCATTCATTCACGAGCTCTAGTTACAGGTTTCTATTTCTCAATGAGGTGTGTTTTTCCCCCCAGCCCCCCCCCATCTTTTCCTCCTTAAATCCTCTATACACCAACCTTCACATATTAAACTGCAGAGATGGAGAGGAAGGGACAGAGCAAGGAAGAGATGTGGAACCTTGCTATGTAATGCATGCTAATTTAATTATGTGCCATCATCAAAATGGATTAGCTGTTTCAGCCCATCAGGAAAGTCTAAACCTCCACCGATTTAATTAACCAGACTGAAAATCAGATGAACAGAAAATAAAACTATCATTAGGAGCAATTAGTGATTACTTAAACATAGTGCTGCCAACCAGTTTGTAAATAAAACTAGCAGCCCCTGGAAAATTAGATGGAATTAATTGGAGGTAGGGAGGGGGAGAAATATATACTTCTAAAGCTTTAGAGGGTCAGGCAGGCCCTTTTATGTTGACTATCAGTGTTTGGAGCTTTGGTAGGGGAAAACATAGTGCAATAACCTTCCTCCCAACTCTGCTTGAAGAGCAGCCCTCCTCCCTCCCGAGACTCCCCTCTCGCACACAGAGCGCTGCTCTGGGTGATAGCCGCCGAGAAAGCAAAAGGTATCACGACTTCTCCTCCCTGCTCTTTCAACATCACATTCTCCCAGCTTTTTCATTTAGTTTGGCTTATAAAGATGACTTCCCACTCCTCCACCTCTCCCTCAAAAACAAATTCTTAAAGCCCAATGACAGCACTAGGACACCCTCTTCTCCTCAAATGGGAAGGTACCCCTCGTCCTCTCCTCCTCTGCCCCACCGAAAAACTAAGGATGACTATTTAACTGAAGTGCTTTCAGAAATACGCTTCCTAGATGAAATGCCCTCCTCTAGAGAGGGCGGCAGGAGGAGTTACATTTGCTCTCAATTCAGGACCTCAGCATTTGAACTCACCTTGACATGGAAGCATTGACGGTCAGAGCTGTTGGGTAAGGGTGGCGGAAACCCCCTGTCGTGATTGGGTATACTGGCTGACCTTGCCTGGCAAAAAAGAAGGG